TCATTTATAATCTCAGTTTCTGTGGATTAGGAATATAGGTAGGACTTTGCCGGGTTCAGTTCTCAGAGTCACCAGGCTGAAGTCAAGGTGCTGACTGGGGTTACAATTCTCATCTGAGCTTTAGGAATCTCTTCGAGGTCTCTCCAGTTGTTGGTAAAGTCATTTCCTTAAGGCTATATGTTTGAGATCCCCATTTTCTGTCACCAGCTGTCACTCAGGAACTGCTTTCAGTTCTTAGAAGTCACCCACATTTCTTTGCCACATGCCTCCCTCCCCTAGAAAGTTCACAAGAGAGCAGTTTGCCTTCTCTGCAGCCAAGAAGAGAATGTCCCTCTAACTCTTCACTCTTTTATAAAGAACTCATCTCTTTAGTCAGGCCTGCCTTGATAATCTCTCTTTGATGAACTCTACAGGGACCCATAATTATATTTGCAAAATCCCTTTTGTCATATAAGGTAATATCTTCAAGACAGTGACATAACATCGCATTTACAAGTCCTTCCTACACTCAAGGGAAAGGGATTATACAGAGATGTGGGCCATAGACGATTACCATAGAATGCGGCCTAGCACATTAATGTAAAAGCTAGTTTGCTAGAAAAGAAAATAGTAAGATTATATAATAGGAAATGTTCAAACTACATATTACTAGACTTACACATGCGCTGGAAAGTTTATTTAATTCTCAGGGAGCAGATTTAGGAAGGCAATGTACATCTTTGTCTTGCACTAAATGACAGATATTCAGACTTCTTTGCTATATAAGAAATTAAAATCTTCAGTGAAACCACATGTGGTTTTGGATGCAGAGCTGCCCAGAGGCACCAAGGAGATTTTTGAATCATACATATGTGGGTGGGGATTGCTTCATCTACTGTTTAAAGCTAATGGGGGGGGGGTATCACCATTGCCTACAGAATAAATTCTAAAGCCCTCACCTAGAATGAAAGATCTTACATGACTTATTTGGCCCCTGCCTTCCAGTTATCTTTCATGTCTACATCACACAGAAAGTTTCATAGTTACTTCAAAAAAGAATATGCTTTTACTTGGCATGAAGTTCCTTTCTTTAGAATGCTCTACCACCTATTTTTATCCAAACCCATAGGATTTATCCCATTCACTGTTTAAGAAAATTATTCATTTAATGAATATTTATTGAGTGCCTACATTCATCAATGAGCCTTTACCTCTCCCACAAAGTAAGGCTAATCTCTGCTTTTTGTTAATAGAAAATCTTTAGCCTAGTCATATATCTACTAACATGACTGTTAAATATGTGGTGATAGTTTCATATCCCAATTGTGAGTACCTTGAAGGAAGCATTCTATTTTTATTTGTTTATATTTCTAGAATGAATTCAGAGATTGTTACAACTCATTAATCATAGCTTGCTAAAAATTTAATAATCATAATCATAATAATATCTAAAATTTATTCAGTGATTCCTTGTACTGTGAAAACATTTTATATATGTTGGCTCATACAAAAACAGTTGCAATAGCACTTTGAGACAAGTATTATAATTCTTACATAGTAACAGAAAAACTAAAGTTCAAACACAGAAGCAAAACTTTTTTGTAAGTTACTGATTCTCTTGAACTTTATTTTCTCTATACCAATGTGGTCTCCAAATGGGAGCATAAGTATCACTCACATATTTAACACAGTGCTAAAAATGCATATTCTCAAGTCCCACTACAGATTTATTCAATAAGAATTTCTGGGGTTAGGGCCCTGTAATTTGAGATTTAACAGGCCCTGCAGGTGGTGATGATGCCTGCTAAAGTTGGAGAACCATTGCTGTATGATCTAATATAGAAATATCCTGTTCAACAAGATATGATCAACTAGGACTTTCAAACAATGTTCACCCAGAAACTTGAAAATTAAATTCATTATTTTAGGTAATGATAGATGAAAAACAAAGATTTTTACAGAAAAAGAACTAGTCCTGATATCAGAAGTCACTTTAAAGGTCCGTATGTCCATCACATAGATTCTGAAGCTTAGTGTCAATATGCTGAACTGGCCAATGCTTAGTTAAAATAAATGGGAAATAATCTTTACTCTCAACTGTAATAATAGTTCTGTGACTTATGTCATTTCATACATTTCTCTTTATAGGAAAATATTCTCCATAACCTGTTTATCACCCCAAAGACATCCTAAACATCTTCAGGTCAAGATCCTTGTTTTCTTCATGTGAATCTTTGCTCACGTACCATAGAATGCTGTATAATTAGAGGCACTTTAACAATTTCATAGTGAATTGAATTAAATCAGCTTTGATTGCCCCATCTTTTTCCATTACTTTATATCAGGCTAATTAATAATCATGCAGTGGCCTCTAAGTGAACAAGTAAAAGGAAGACTTGTACATCTTTCACTTCTCAAAAGCTAGAATGATTAAGCTTAGTAAGAGAGGCTTGTCAAAAGCTGAGACAGGCCAAAAGCTAGGCCTACTGCACCAAACAGTTAGCTAAGTTGTAAATGCAAAGGAAAAGTTCTTTTTAAAATTTTTAAAAATATGTTTTCATTGATTTTTAGAGAGAGAGGGATGGAGAGATAGAAACGTTGAAGAGAGAGAAACATTGATTGTTTGCCTCCTGCACACCTCCTACTGGGGATTGAGCCCACAACCCAGGGATGTGTCCTGATGGGAATTGAACCAATGACCTCTTGGTTCATGGGTTGACTCTCAACCACCAGCCAGGCAAAGGAAAAGTTCTTAAGTAAATTAAAAATGCTACTTCAGTGAATTCATGAATAATAAGGAAGCAAACAGCTTTATTGCTAATATGGAGAAAAGTTTAGTAATCTGAATAGATCAAGCCACAAATTTCCCTTAAGCTAAAATTCTAACCAGAGCAAGACCCTAACTCTCTCCAATTCTATGAAGGTTGGGACAGGTGAGGCAACTGCAGTAGAAAACTTGAAGCAAGCAGAGGTTGGTTCATGAGGTTTAAGAAAATAACCCATACCCATTACATAGAAGTGCAAAGTGAAGCAGCAAGTGCTGATGTAGAAGCTGCACCAAGTTATCTAGAAGATCTAGCTAAGGTAATCAATGAAGGTGGCTGCACCAGCAACAGATTCTCAATGTAGACAAAATAGCCTTACATTGGAAGAAGATGTCATCTAGGATTTTTATAGCTAGAAAGGAGGAGTCAATGCCTGGCTTCAAAGCTTCAAAGGACAGGTTGACTCTCTTGTTAGGGCTAATGCAGCTGTTGACTTTAAGTTGAAGCCAATTCTTGCTTACCATTTCAAAAATCCTACGGACCTTAAGAATTATGCTAAATCTACTCTGCCTGTGCTCTACAAATAGAACAACAATGCCTGGATGACAGCACATTTGTCTACAGCATGGTTTACTGAATATATTAAGCCCACTGTTAAGACCTACTGCACAGGAAAAAAAAAATTTCTTTCAAAATACTGCTGCTCATTGACAATGCAACTGGTTACCCAAAAACTTTGATGAAGATGTGTGAGATTCGTGTTGTTTTCATGCCTGCTAACACAACATTCAATTTGCATTCCATGGATCAAGGCGTAATTTTGACTTTCAAATCTTACCATGTAAAAAATACATTTTGTAAAGCTATAGCTGCCACAGATAGTGATTCCTCTAATGGGTCTTGGAAAACTCAACTGAGAACCTTCTGGAAAAGATTTACCATTCTAGATGTCATTAGAACATCTATGATTCATGGGAAGAGGTTGAAATATCAACATTAATAAGAATTTAGAAGAAGTTGATTACAACCCTTATGTATGACTTTGAAGGGTTAAATATTTCAGTGGAGGAAGCAACTGCAGATGTGGTAAAAACAGCAAGAGAAGTAGAATAAAAGTGAACCCTGAAGATATGACTGAATACATGTAATCTCATGAAAAACTTTATTACATGAGGAGTTGCTTCTTATGGATGAGCAAAGAAGGTGATTTCTTAAGATGGAAGTACCTCTGGGAAAGATACTATAAAAATTGTTGAAATGACAACAAAGGATTTAGAAATTACAAAAACTAACTTGATAAAGCAGCAGCAGGTTTTGAGAGGATTGATTCCAATTTTGAAAGTTCTACTATGGGTAAATGCTATCAAAAACATCACATACTACAGAGAAATGGTTTGTGAAATAAAAAGTTGATCAGTGCAGAAAACATTGCTGGTGTCTTATTTTAAGAAATTACCGTGGCCCACAACATTCAGCAACCACCACCCTGATCAGTCAGAAGCCATCAACAATGAGGTAAGACTCCACCAGGGAAAGGATTAGAATGAACTGAAGGCTCTGATGATGGTTAATGTTTTTTACTTTGGACATAATGTTATTGCTTACTTAACAGACTACAGTATAATGCAAACCTAGCTTTTATGTGCACTGGGAAACCAAAAAATTGGGTGATTTGGTTTATTGTGATATTTGCTTTGTTGTGGTGGTCTGAAACCAAACCATCAATATCTCCGAGGTATGCCTCTAATGTGCATTTTTACTGAAATGAGTACATTGTACTTGCCCTCTGTGAGAATTACTAGGAATCAGATTTATTGATGTTTAGTCAGTTTTATTGTCAAAACTTTGTAATGCCAGAAACTCAGTTTAAGAAATAATTCATGAAGTTTCTCTGTACTAAATCTAAAGACTATAGATGAGTTCTGAAATAATATCTAATTTACACTTAGTGCTTACTATTATCAACACAAATCTATGTGTTTTAAATATATTGACTCATGTTTTTTATATTTTAATTCCTCCAACTTCCTCACGTGCTATATGTTATTCTAGACCTATTTACATAGGAGAAAATGAGGCACATACATTATATTCATATACATTGTAAAATGACATAATTTAAGAAATGGTTAAATTTGGTTAAATTAAGCTTAGAAAATGACTGTGGTTTGAAAAAGAAAATGTACAGTGTATCTAACTTTTCATACTACTTTCAGCACATTAATTTTGATTTGGGGACCTTTTCCCACTCTTTACCTTTAATCTCTTTGTCATTTTTGAACCATCTTATATCAGCTGCAGGTTTACTACCAGATGTTTTACAAGTCAGCTGCATCAAGTCTCCCTCCATAACTGGTGATGAAAATCCACTAATTTGAGGCTTTTCAGGAACACCTGAAATATAAGCAAATGAATGAAGTGAACATCAATTGCCAGGGTTGGGTCATTCTTGTGACTATTACTTTTACAGTCAAAAGTAAACTGGCAATACGTTCAATCAAGAAAAATGAACTTCTGTATAATAAAATAAATTGCTTATAAGATATAGATAAATTTGTATACACACACACACACATATATATGCATACATATAAGTGTATATATGCATGTATGTGTGTATATATATTTATGATATATATGTATATATACCCGAAAGCATTTATTTAGTTCAAAGTAGTTGTTTAAGTTAAAGTTTACATGCAAAAATACTCTTTGTAATTCTTAAAGACAACCATTCAATATATCTTAAAATTTACCAGTATAGGGATTTAAGAATGTACATTGTTTGCATCACGGAACAAAAATTTACAAAGCACATTTCTTTATTCTTTAGCAAATTATGATTTAACTAACATAGCGCCTTTCATTCCTGATTTCATAATTCTTAAAGCTTAAAAATTATATTATCTCCTGTGCACTTTATTCAAGAAAAGGCATTTTGCCCAAGAAAATGCAACAAAAAAATTCATTTGTAATTGCAACCATACTTACTTCCCTGATTCTTCTAAGGTAGAAAATGTCTCTTGATGTCGTGTGTATTAGAAATTCAATCGTAGTTTTGTGGAGCGTGATATGTGTTATTTTTAATGCTAACCACTATTACCTTTTCTAGTCCAAATCATCCAATCAATAAGCAGATAACTAATGTTCAGAGATAGCACATGGGTCATTTAAATAATAGAATATTCCATATTTCTTGGGCATTAATATTTCATTATCATGGTAGAGGTTTACTAAAATTTCATCCCAAATTATTCAATAATCAAGGTAGATCGAAAGTTTCTTTTTTGTACTATTTAATTCAGATATAAAAGAATGAAATGTAAGCATGTTGGAAAGCACCAATAAGAGAAATACACATTTAAACAATAACAACAAAGATAAATGACAGATCATCATACTCTAATTAGCTGTCTAGTGTGTTTTGTTTTATTTTTTAATCTATTTCACATCATCATTGAATAAATTGAAATCAGCCAGCTTCCTATTCAGGGTGTCTCAAGGTGGTTCTCTATAGAACAATACATTAACCTTAGGCAGTTATCCTGAAATACTCAATTTTAGTGGCTATATTTTGTCCTTAATGGCAAACTTGTAAAGATTTTTTATAAAATCATCTCAGTGGGACCTGCAAAGAGACATGTTTCTTATCCTGTGCACAAAACCAATTCACTAGCTGAATTAACTTTAATATTCCTACCCAAAAGAACAGCATGTATCAGTTCTTTTAAATGCAATGTTAAGCCTTTATGTATCAAAAAAGGAAGGCAAACTAGAGGCAGGAAAAAAAAATCTGTCTTGAAATTCCTCTAACTTGTTCGGTACACGGGTGTGTTTCAATAAACTGCAGCAATTTCAGCTGATTGGGCCTCTGACGTTTGTGGAATCACAGAGAGCTCTGAGTTGCAACTATACTTCCTCGGAATCTCTACGAATGTATTGCTTTTTTGTGTCACTTTAACCTTTGGAAAAATGGCTCAATATTTAGAGAACAGAAGTACAAAGAAGCTACAAGCTGCGTGCGCAAGTGACATTATGTAGTTCATTTAGGAATCTAGAAAACTACACACTTATAAGGTGAGAAGACAAATAGAAATGTGAGGGTTATTCAAATGCACTGAGATAGACAAGGGGGTCATGTGTGAAAGCCATAACATATTAGAGAGGGACCCTATCAAATGACTGACACGATAAAATGTAGGAGAACCCTATAGACACCATTCTATCACTTTATGAAAGGATCACCATGTATACAATACATAGATGAGTTGGTACAAAGGAATTTAACTGAAAAACAAGAAACCTGGTGTCTAAGAAATTAAATGGCTGTGTGCTCTCAGAAGTCAGATAACTCTTTACACCTCCCTTCATCTATTTATAAAATGGGGAGAGTGACTAAGTGGTTTTTTAAATGCCTTTTCTCTTCTTTTAAAATTTATCTTCATTGTTGAAAGTATTACAGATGTCCCCCTTTTTTCTCCCCCATTGCCCCCCTCCAGCCTGGACCAGACTCCCTCCAAGGCC